GAGAGAGCTGCGACTTTTCCCCATTTGAAAGAGCAATACTTGGGCCATCGATCTGTATACAATTCATTAGGACGAAAGATGTTTGTTCATAGAGAATTATCGATTAAATTTTTTTCTAGATGTAATTTTCTTCAATTTTCACAATAAAATATGTAAATGCCCTTGAGAATCCACTTCGTAAAAGAGATCGCGGATTGATCGAAAATGTGATGATTTTATAGTGAAAAAAGTGTGATAGGCAATCTTGTTCGAAAAGCTTCTTTCGTTCTCATGAGTTTTATACAGATCAATGATCCACATGCAGTGATCGTTTGGAAAATAAAAAAGAAGTTCATTTTCGATCAAATAGATGGATTCATTCGTTAAGAGGAAACCAATTTAGTTGAATCATAACACAACTTAACGCTTAGTTGGGAAAGAAGATAGGATATGGAACTGGTAAGTCACGAATGGCGCCTACGAATGACTCGCCGTTTGTTCCTAAGATTGATATGAACCTTTCTTTCGCGAAGCTTTCTAGAGATTGGACAATAGTTTTCAGAAGAGCTCGACCAAGTAGATAGAATCTGGCATCAGTGGGTTACAACTGACGCCCTCAAGAGACGCTGATGAGCGACTCGCCATTCATTTACGAGGTAGACACGTCTTTTCTTGCGTAAAGCTTTGAACGAAATATAGAGTATGTTTCGAAAGAGCTGAGGCAATTGTTGTGGTGAAGACGACTAATTCAAAATCGTACCAATTTCTCATAAAAGCCAAAGAAATGTAATCTATGATGAGAATATTCCGTGAATACAACATATTCCAAACTCGACATTACCAGTGTTGCTTTTTCCAAATTGCAAAAGTTGAAAGATTTGTTCGTATGATGTTGGCTATACCATCACACAAACTGACGATTCATCTAATAATGTTTGTCAAAGTGAATAGAATGAATTCAGTCGAGGGTGAAGCGAGTCATAGCGACGAGCGTTACTTGTGATAAATCTGCACTGTAAAATAGAAAATAACTTATCGAGAATAAACGAGAATATTCTAGGAATGTCCACATGAATCCATCAACGAACTTCTACTTTTTTAAAAATATGATATTCAAGAAAATAAAAATGATAAATTCAATTTTTGAATTCGAAAAGCGAAAGCAAATTCTTATGGGCAGTTCTAGAATTTCGTATTGAATTTAGCAATTCGAACATTTTTAAAAAATTGGAAAATCAATTGACAGTATACAATTGAGTTTCTTTTATGTATTTCATTCCACGGTTAAAACATATAATGCAAAAAAATAGAAGTAGTTAAAATCCGATGAAAAAAAAACACTTCTAGAACTACTACCAACAGAACTAACAAATAGTTGATTTTTGAAAAATTGAGAAAAAATTGCACAAAAATACAAAAAGATTAATTGTTAATATTTTTAATAGATTTTAATTGTATGATCGGATAGGTTTCAATTGTTTTCTAAAATAAACAGTAATAAAAATAAGTAATGAGAATTATGCCATAATTTAAATGGTCATAGATTACTAATATGATTTAATAACAGTTCTTTGGAGCGTTTGTAACTTTTCACAATCAAGCGTTCTAATATGAAGATCGGCTGTTCTTCTAAAATAAAGAAAATACTCTATATAAGCTAATATAATGTATTACCTTCAGAAATATATTTTTTTGTTTGATGATACAAATATTTGAAGCATTTTGGATAACTAGATTTTAATGCTTGAACTATTTCTGCACCAAATAAACCACAGCGAAGATTGATTTGATTTTAAGAATCAGTTGTTCATAGAAAAAAATAATAAATAAATTTATATGTAATTTTCAGATTGTGCCAGTTTATTTGAACGAATTGTTTCAACTCAACAATATCTCAACGAGTTATTATAATCGATCAAAAAAAAATTCGCTTTAGGACTTACCAAGTGGTTACAGATAAAGCTAGAAAATGTTTGATGATTCTTTTGATTGACTTTATTCCTTGAATAATATATTGACGACGTACATACGTGATATCTATTTTAAATTTAACTGGATCCTGATCATTATTTATTGTGTTAATTAGAACATATATGATGTAATTTTCTTAATCTATTTGAATTACTATCTATGGAATGCATCAACAGAAATATCTTCACATGGTCAGTCAAAAATGGGTTTGATAAATACATAAAATAATTTAAAGACCTTGATGGAGCACTTATTATCTAATAATTGAGTATATTTTTTTTAAATTTATTTTCGAAGAGGAAATTGATGGTTTATCGCTCTTACATTCGATTCATCGTCAATTGAAGAACTATTATCGGTTAATACGGATTATAATATTCCTAAAAACCCCAATCATTGATGTTAAAACAAGGTTCGAAAAAAAAATCGGAGATATAGATGGAGAATGTTTATTCAACTAATAAGTAACTATTTATTCATTTGTATTAACTGATCAGTTGTGTCTTCTTTTTCCCTTTTAGTATAATCGTAATATTAAATGAAAAATAATCTGATATACTTATCATGTTGAACATTAGTACCAGCTGAAAGTGTTTCGATCGACTACATATACGTTGGATCAAAGATTTGATCAATCTTAATCGAATTCGAATTGTTTACTAATTATTAGTGCACCAATTGATCAAATGATCCAGCAACTATCAAATAATTCTTCAAAAAGCTGAACAAAATCTCAATCAAGAAAAAAATTTCATTAACCCACGTACTTTCTAGTTTTGATAAAGCTTTTGAAGAAATTGCTAAAGACCCATCACCAACAGACTTTGGAGCATCATGCAGAAAGTAACAACAATTATAACAAAACCTCTCTATGTCGACACCTCCGTATTGTAGATACCTTCCGGTTTTCCGGAACTGTTTTTGCTGAAAATGAACCTCTTCAATGTGAACACCTTCCTATTCTGAGCTATGGACACTTTCTTTCGATCCCTTCTGCAGTAAATAATCTCTCGATAGTGGACACTTGTTTAAGTTCTCCATACTTTTTGCATTCAGTCAAACCTGTATATGTATAAGGCCTCTGATTTGATTAATATGACGAGTAAAAGAATCGATAGTGAATACAATTGAATGAAATAAAGAAGAAATCAGAGAAAATGAAATAGATGAGTTAGAACAAAACAAAAGATGAATAGACAAGTCAGAAAACGAAAAAAAAGAGCAATAGTCTAGACAGATATAAAACATCGACTCTAACATTTCTGTCTTCAATGAATGGAACGATAACAGCGATCTCCTTGTTGAAATTGTCGATGCTGATGCCATCGAAAATATCAAAGACCTCGAAGAAGAGGAATCAGTCGAAGAGATACTTTCAAAACTGCCCAAAACGATCGATATATTGCAAAGATTACATTAATTCGCATCGAAAGAACAATCTGAACGTCACGTACTTATTAACGAACTCGAGTTAAGGATGACTGACCTTTATTTTGATACGAAAATGTCTAAATAAAGTTCTATAACTGACTTTTTCAAAATGTACTGATGAAATTAAAAAAGTTTTCAGTAAGTGATGTTAGGAAAGTAGTTTTCTACAAATTATGATATAAAATATCTTTAGCATATGTCTTTCTTTGCAAAATAATATTCAGAAAGATGGTTTGATTTGTTTCAGTGACCGCAGAAAAGATTACTAAGGAAAAAACTGAAAACCTCACAAAAGTGGACACTTTGGAAGGGTCCCTTAGGTACCCACTATAGAGAGGTTATACTGTATGTAAATAGCTGATTTTGTTCACTTTTCGATACTTTATCTTTTGATATATGATTGCGAAAAGTTTCGTTAAGTTGTTGTCATCTGAAAAAGTAAACTTTGTAAGTCCAATTATTGACGGTATTCTTCAAATATACTCGTGAGTGCTCAAAAGTCACATCGGGCTAACTTTTCAGCATCTCAACCAAATAGGTGAAAATTTTGCATTTCAAGGTCTTAGATGATGTTAAACAAGATGAATACATCATATCAAAAAATTGAACTTTGACAAAGGTTTCGGTTTCTTGATGACCTCTTGGATTCTCTCTCTTATGACCGAAGGAGAAGTTCAAAACTAATTCTAAATGGTACCAATTTTTCTTTAGAATGTCTAGATAATGGTAAGGCACAAATTTTTGTTTCGAGACTTGATAGGATTTCTAGAAAACCATTTGTTAAGTAGAAGTCTTTTGATGTTTGATATTGCTGAAAATTTCACCATAGATATGATTCATAGCTTATAGTCGATCCTATCCTGAAGTTCTCGGATTTTTTTTGCTTTCATGGTTAAAGAGATATTCGCCAATTACTTTTTAATTAATAGTCAGCTGAAAGAGTCAACATTTTAACATATGACTATGCTAAAAGAACTTATTCAGAAAAATAATTCTTGTAAAGAATGAAAATTCAATGAAAGATAAGTATGTCCTGTTGTGCCTAAAATGACTCTTATTGTCTATTTAGTCATAATGAATATCAAAAAGTGAATTGAAAAGATTTTTTTTTATAATAATTTATTGGTTGAGAAACGAATTACAAGCTTCACGGATTGTTTGTATGTATGATATAAGAAACAGACACATTATTTTGAATAATAAAAAAGTAATGTCTGAATTAATGGCTTTGTCTAATTTCGTATCCTTCTTGTTGAATCCGTAATGAACTAATTTTCCTTCATCCAATTTAATGAAGGGGTTTTCTTTTTCTCTCTTGCCATACTCTCATGGTTATATTCTAACCTTCATTAAATTTCTATAAAAACGACACGATAATAATTAATACATTTTTGTTTCAATGATACTTCTAATTCTTTTTTTACCAATAAATTAAAAAGAAAAAAAAAGAATATATACAAGGATACTTTAATGTTATAAAATAGGTGTTTGATGTTTGTATTTATATATAATGTCGTTCATGCTTGATTGAGCATTTGATATATTAATGATAGATATACAAATTGACAATCATTGGGTTTTTATTTCGGAATTTATTTCTACTTTGTCGATTTTGAATAATGACAAATTTTGATGCAGCTAAAGCTTTATTTGTAGAAGTAGATACGAATCAAGATGGAAGGTATGAAATAGAAATTTTCATAAAATTCTAAATTCTATATTTAGGATTGATCGAGATGAATTTCGTAATTGGATTGCAAATACGGGAGGATTAACTTCATCATGTGAATTATCAACTAGTGGACTTACTCTTTATGATAATGCTACTAGTCGAATTGATGGAAATGAATATAAAGTTAGTTCTCAAAATGCTTTTGAATCTACGGCTGACCTAAATACTTCATACGGAGTTACAACAGCATCGGCTGAATTCACTGGAGATACAGCAATTCATACAAGTACTGTACAACAAACGAACCAATATCTTTCACAATCAGGTAAAAATATTTATAATGATCCTAATCCACAAATTGTTCGACGAGCAGCAACTGGAGGACCAATAACTTATGAACAAAAAGTTCTTGTTCGATTTCTTCAACCACCAGCTATTCCACCACCAGGAGTAATTAAACAAATGTTTAGAAATTTAATTACATTTATCTTTGCGATTTTAGCCACTTATTATTAAAGAAGTGCATCCGGTACAACCACCTCCACCTCCACCACTTATAGTGCGTCAACGTGCACAACCTCTTCCCACACCATCTCCACTCATCTTACGTGAACGTCCACCAATACCACCGGCACCGATTGCTAGCCAAACAAGTTAGAAAAGAAACAAATTTAAATAAATAGATTAGATTAATCAATTTATTTTATTTCGTGTAGTTGTTCGCTGTTTACCTGCTGTACCTGTTCCACCACGATCAGTTATTATCGAACGTATTCCATCTCTTCCACAAAAACCACGTAAAATCATTATTTTCAATGATTATTTTTAATTCTTTTTCTATTTAGGTGATATTATAATTGAACGATGGATTCCCTATGGACCTCAACCAAAACGTCGTACCATTGTTTGTCGTGCTCCTCCTGCAGTACCATATCCACAACCACGTAATATCATCGTTGTTTATGAAGCTCCTCAAGCACGTATAGTCCGACAATTTAAAAACCTTGGTGTAATTCAAGAAAATCCTCAAAATTATATAGTTCGTTATGGAGCATCGCTTTTAGATCCCGCAACACTTGTTCAGCTAGCTCGTAATGCTGGTGTTATTGAAGATATAGTAAAGGAGAAAATATATTCGAAGAAAGCAAAAAAGAAATTTTTTTAAAATTTTTTAGTCGCCTCCTGCAGTATCATCTTCAATATATGTTGGCACAGGCGGAAATGCTGTTGGTTTTGATCAGTCAAATGTAACAACTGGTCAAAGTTTTTCGTCATCAGGTACAACTAGTTTTGGCGGAATTCAACTAGTTCGTGGTACAAAAGCTGTAAATCTTGGTAATGCAAATTATGCGTCATCAAGTTTTATTGGTGATAGTGCTTTAGCTGGCAGTACTAATATAGCTAAAGCTGGATTTAATGTAGGTGATGCAAGTTTGACTACTACTGCTGATATCAATCATGGTGGACAATTAAATCAAACAGAATCTCAACGATTTATTCAAAACCATAGTTAAACAAAGTCTTTCATTTTCTATTAAAAACATTTCTTTTCCTTTCTTTCTTTTTTTTTTACAAAGAAATATATAAACTATATAATAAAAGAGAGACAAATAATAAAATGCTGATCAAACATTACTGATACCACTATCAGCTGAATCACGTTTTCTTGTATACCATACTGGTGTCGTTTTTAAACGAGCTAATTGCATTGTGCCATGCCATAGATTAGCATAAAATAATAATTTATTATTTGTATTTTGGATATTTTTATCAATATAATCATTTTTTGGATATATTATTTGATGATTTATTTCCATAGATAATCGATATGTTTTATCTTTTCCATTTAATATAAATGTTTGTGTTTCTTGTATAAATAATATATTAATAAGTTCACTAAGATTAATAGAAAAATCTTCAACTTGATCTAATTTTCCGCCATATATATGTAATTGATAATCTTCTTGTAATTCAATCCAAATAATTGGTTTTAAAGGAAACAAACGAAAATTACCAAATAGAATTGTTTTATTTTCATCACGTGTTATTTTTTGACATGTAGATGGATTTCTATCTATACCAGTAAAATTTCTATAACATAGATCACAAACACGTACTTCACCTTGTTTATTACAATATTTAAGAATTAATTTTTTTGTTGAACATGAACCACATATACAACGACCACATGATCGACAATGATGTCGTCGAGAAGGAATTAATTTTGAACCAAAACGATTATGACAAATTTGACAACGTGTTACATCAATATCATTGACCCATAGAGGAGCACGTGTACCTAATTGTTGTCCATAGGAACGATGAAATGATTGACGAACTAAAATAGAATAAAAAAACCTATAATGTTTATTTATTTTTTTATTTTTTTGATACAAAAAAAAGTTTGACTGAGGTCGAGAAATGCCTATGTATCTTTATATGAGTCATTTCAGGCAAAACGGGACGTACTTATCTTTTATTTGACTTTGATTCTTTACAAGAAATTTTTTTTTTTAATAAGTTCTTTTAGCATAAACATATGTCAAAATGTTGGCTTTTCCAGTTGACTATTAATTAAAAGTAGTTAGCGAATATCTCTCAAGCTATACTAGAAAACAATCCGAAAACTTTAGGATAGACTATATGGTACGAAATTTCCAGAAAGATCAGACTTCAAAACATTTTCTCTTAAAAGCTGGTTTTCTAGAGATCTTATCAAGTCGTGCAACAAAAAATTTTGTCTTACCATCATCTAGAGATTCTGAAGAAGGGTTTACACTGTTTAGAATTGGTTTTGAACTTCTCATTTGATTATAAGAAAAGTTCGAATGTATGAAGTGAAAGTCGATGTTCTTTTTTGTGTGGCGTCGCCAATGGTAGTTGTTTAGTGATAACACCTATGAACAAAGATCTTCAGCGCTAATATTTTCAAGGTATCTAGAGTAACTTGACGTGTATGTAGTATATAAAACCCTTCTTAGCTCTATAAAAGTTGAAAATCTCGAGACATTTGTTTTAGTTTTGTGAAGTCATGTCGCCAATGAACGATTTTTCCCACATATGTTAATGCTCAATATCGGATTGAATGCGAAATTTTCGTTATTACCCAAATCAGTCTATAGATCGACGTTGGATTTAAATTCTTATGGATGGGTTGGAATGAAGCAGTAACATTTTCGGTCATACACTTATCAGTTGACCCTATGGTTTAATATTATAATATAGATCTAATAAAATTGGACGTATGATCTTCGGTAAGGTTAGAACTGTAGTAGTAAGCGTACCTTTCTTAAACGACAATGATTCTAGGATTCTGTGTAATTTTACAGATATCTGTTTGATTTTACAGAGCTTTACATGATTTGAGTAGAGATATCGCCTATGCGTTCTTATCGACCTCTAAATGCATAATTCCTTCTCTTCTATTTGATATACATGTACAGTGATAACATATAATGATGTCATGATACTAAAAGCATAAGGTAAATAGAAATTACTCTATGACCAAAGAAAGAGAGACGATTATGAAAGTTATAATCTGTATAAAAGTTCAGTCCGTATATATATATATACGGGTTCCGTAACCAAACGATTAATGACAATCGGATAAAAAAAAACAATGTCAAAAGTATTTTAGAATGCACGTGGTTTTTATCAATAGAACAAGATTTGTTTTGTCTACATTCATTGATTAAAATATGAAATGAATATATGACTTACTTTCTATAATTGAATTTCGTCTTTTGAAATCTTCACTTGCTTGTCGGATTTTATTCACCCATTTTTCTCTATCGGATTCTTTATCAGTTAAAAATTCATAAGATTTTTCAATAGCATTAACACGAAATGGATAATAACTAATAGGACTCAATTGTTGTATATTAGTTGAATTAGTTGATGCTGATGCTAATCGTTCACGTTCAATAATTTCAATTCTTATATTTTTTAGTGACAATTGTCGTTTTATTTCAAGTTTATTTCCTGATTCTCCACAGACAAGTATACATTCAGAAAATAATATAATATAATATTGAACAATATCAGTATGTTTACGAGGTGATTGTTTTTTTAATGAACCATGCCAAAGAAGCTGTTGTTTTTCAAAACATTCTAGTTTGTTATCAACTCGTAGTTTTAATTTATTTAATTGTGTAGGAGATATAGCTAAATGTTCTTCACATCGTTCAGCTATACAAGTTAGTTCATCATGTACAAAACATGTGTGATCATAATCAGAAGAGTCTTTATCAAGTTGTTTCATATAGCTTTTCAAAAGCAGAATATAGCTAAAATAAATAAAGAAAAAATGATCAAAGAAATATTGATACTGAAAAGAAAGAAAGAGAGCTGTTTAAAAACATTCTCCTTCTTTTATCATTAAAAAAATTGATCCCAAGTCGACATACAGATGATGATGGACCGTATGATCAAGTAGATCCACAATTATGACTTTTGGCATTAACGCTATGTTTCATTGGAGGGTCATCAACAACAAGCAAACATATATTTAGCGAAATTGATCGAATTTTAGAAGCAGAAAGGCAACAAGTGAATCCCTGAATTACTTTCTTTTGTGGTGAAATTTCAGAAAATCTCTCTTTTTTGGTTGCTATTTATAGAAGAAATGAAATAGTACACGTTGTCATACCAAATAAAAGTTTGAAAATCATACTGTGACTGTGAAAGTATCGGCCGAATGTAAATTCTTGCTTCTCTCTTATTGCTACCGAGATACTGCATTGTTAAGATCTTTTTTTAAATCAAAGTTATGGTTCCCTTTAGGAACACTGAAAAAATTGATTTATGAATGTCGAATTGAAATTTTGTACAGAGATAGGTATTTAACATAATAGCTTGTTGTGAAAGTTTTAGATCGTTTCATCGTTTCTATCTTAAGCTATGGTAAAAGTGTGTCTGTTATATCGTTCATATGCATTGGTATATTCAAAGTTCTTATTTCAGGATAAAAGCAAATCATAAGACTCAAAATTTTTACAACAAAATATTCTGTGTAAGGTTTATATCTTTGTGCGAAATTTCTACCAAAATTCTAAAATAATTTTTCCGATGTTACTAAAGGAGACTACGGCATTGTGCTAAAAAATATTGTAAAAATGCACTCTTTCGACGGCGATAAGCTAACAGCGCGAACTTTTTTCAGGATATTCATAATTTATTAGAACCTACATAATGTACATTATTCCGACTCAAAAGTGATTTATCAGTTGAAGGACTTCTCTTATTAATGAAATACCAAATAAAATTTTTTAAAATCCTTCATCTTTAGAATATCTGTCTATTTTTGTCTTTTCGAGTTAAAATTCTAACATAAATACTTGAAACTTTTTTCAACAGGTAAAGACGGTCGTTTTCATTTCTGATCTTGTCGTTTGAATGTAGTGAATCTTTAAAAACAAACGAGCAACTCCAATTTCGAGACTTCTTGTATTTTTTTCTGTAAAAAGAAAACGAAACTTTGTTGAAAACACTTAAAATTACCTCTTTAGTATTATCTTGATTATCTTCGAAAAAAAAAACGTTTTCAGTTCAATCGGATAAAGATTGATGAGAGTCATAGTGTTGATATAATTCAACTCTATTATAATTCTTAATTTTTTTCGTGAAAAATTTTCTTGGAATTTTTTTCCATCGAACATTTATGTTCTTATTTAACATGTTATATGGCAAGATTTGTAAAAAAAAAATGGACACAGTAGTTTTCAGATCTCAGAAGACTTTGTCGGTACTATTTTTCACAATGTCATTTTAAAGAGCACAAAATGAGGAATCGTCGTATTTCCTGCGATCTTCCATTAAAAGCTAAAAGCATCACAAAAACTGAAAAAAAGACGTTTTCTTAGTTAACTTTTGAATAAATTTCATTTTCTGTGATGATTTTAATTTTTTAAGGAGAAGTTGTAGATAATGCGACGATTCTTCACATTTTATATTCTTTAAAATGGTATTGTTATAAAATAGTTTTTCAGATTTGAAAACTACCGTGTACAGTTTTTAGAAATCTTGCCATATGAAACGTTAGTATATAGAATGCACTAGATAGAAAACTCCACTGGCTATCAGAATTACTATTTGGATTTGAACTAGGTGCTTAACATTATAGGAAAAAAAATATGTTATTGTTAAACTCTTTCCACTACCTTAGGAGAAAGTACACTTAATAAAATTTGTTGATCAATTTTATTTAATACATTTATATAAAGAATATATACTATTAGAGCCCGTCGGATTCGGCACTAATCCGATGGGTTCTAGATGCTGTATTGTCTGATAATCTTTATTTGAATTGTGTTCTTCTTACCGAAGTAAATGTTGATTGGCACAATTAAGTTCAGCAATTGGATATAAATTTCCTAGATGAACTTGACATTGAAGCATTGCTTCATGAATTAATGAATTTGTTGCACATAAACGTTCTAATTTTTGTTGATTTTCATCATATACAATATAATATTCTTTATATAAATTTTCAATAGTTTGAAAATGTTCAATAAATATTGACCATATATTATCAGTTCGATGACCTGTTTTATATTGTGTCATATCTGGCAAAATATATTCATTATGAAATTTATATAATCGTTTTATTGTATTAAGTAATGGTTTATAAATATTATTAAATGTATTAAGAAGATTTTCATCTTTCTGACATGTTTCTTTAACGTAATGAATAACTTTAAAAGAAAGTACATAAAGTTTTTTAACATATTTTTCTTCAGTTGTATGTATTTCATCAAGACATTTCAATAAACTTGTTTTCTAAATAAAATAAAACAAAAATTTTCTTTTTTTTTTTGTTTTTCTTTGGATATATTAAACTAACTTGTTTAACATCGAACTCTTTGTCGTCATCAATAGATGATCCATCGAATGAATCATGTCGATTTGAATAGATTTTTGGTGAAATACTAAAATCATCGTTTGGAATATTATGTATATCATTTGATTGAGATTTAATAAATATTTCTGGATATTGAGCTTGAGTTCGTTTTGATGTTGTCATTGAATTTGATGATGTTGTTTCAAATGTTACATTATGAGAATTAATAAGATCATTTGATCGATCCTTGAAAAATACAAAAAGTAATAATTATTATTCTTTTTATAAAATAAATACATTTTAAAAAAAGCATGAATTGATTTACATACTTTATTATATGTTGTTGGATCTTTTAAATCCTTAGAATTTTTATTCTGTGAAATCGAATCCGAAGTATTATCTTCGTTTCTTTCAATTGTTGATGTAATCGATAGAAGAGATTGACTATTTGTTGAAACAAATTGTGAAGGACTTCTAGTAGGTATTTTCTTTTGTTCGGATAATGATGTCCACACTTTTTGAAAAGAAATACAAATATTGAAATTTGATATTTATAGTAATTGAAGCAATGATATAAATACAATTTGAATAAAATATAGGAGATTTTTCAAATATTTACTAGTCGTATGAAGGTTAGTTGATTCTATGAAAAACAATAATGTGACTTTTTTTTTCAGTCGCATAGTTACTCTAGCAAATTTTTCTTCTTCTTAATCTATGAATCATGTTTTATGTACTTCTTCTTTTTCGACATGTTAGTCATTATTTAAAACAGTCATTTGCTTTTCGTATCAAAATCTTAACTTGTCAAGATTATGAGAATGTAATGATTGTAAAACTGAAATCTTTTTCTTTTTGTTGAAATTTAACTACGTAAAAAGCCATAAAAAATACCAATAAACAGTCATTTTCAACTTGAGACTTATTATTATTCATATTTACCTGAGACGAAGTATCTGAATGTAGCAATTATACTGAATATGAAAGGATACCCTTCATATGTGAATGATTATTAAACATAAGCTATGTATATTCATATTGTGCTTCATTGCTTTAAGTGTGATACAAAATCATGAACTAAGCACAACATGGATTGATTATTATCAATGAAATTAACAAATGTTAAGTGTGACTGTTCACATACGTTTGTAGACTCATAAAGTCGACTGTTTTCTCTTTTCCAATGCATTTAAATACGCAAAAAAATAGTTAAATATTTTACCCAGAAACTTTCTCCCTACCTCTTTCGTATACATATACAAAATTCTTTATATATTAATTGAATCAAAACTGAGAAATTCATAGAATATCCTACTTTCGCGTGAAGATGTGCGAGTATTAATAAAACGATTAAATGTGGATATTGGACATTTGCTTTTGATACGTGATGGAATATTGACTCTTGAGATAACATTTTCAAATTTGTCAATTAATTCAGCAACCTTAGTTTCTTTTTCCTGTGTTGACGTAAATTCTATCTTATTTGCCACAGATAATTTGTGTTCTCTTGTAAAAATACTTTGTGATAAAGGTTCATGTTCCGATACGTTACTAAGCGAACGAGATCGTTTTGATGTATAGACTATACTATACGATGATGGTGGTAATTGACAGCGAGATCTTCTACAATTTTTTTCATTCATTTGTTTGTTAAGTATGTGTATAAGAGTAAAATCATGATAACGAAATGACAAAAGTTTACATTCTAGTTATCAGTATCATCTTTTTCTTTCTTTCATGACGAGACCTTGAAAAAAAGATATATATATATATATATATATATACGCATTTCAAAGAATGAAAGATCTTATCCTATAAAATTTTTACCAAGTTCAATAATAAATAAAATGATAAAAGATAAGAAAAAATACAAAAAAGAAATTCTCTTTAATTTTACTAACGAACATTTTTACATATTGTCTCTTTATTGATTTATCTTTCTTTACAATCTCACATTATCATAATCATGTTTCATCAAGTTACAATGACGAATAGAAAAAGAGAAATTTTTTTTTTTTTCATTATATCAAATTTCCCAGACAACAGATAAAAAATGCACTTATACTAGGAGAAATAATCAAGTGATATTTGTTTTTTTCCTCTTTAGAATTTAAAGCACTGGTTTTTTTGTCAAGAAACAAATATAAGATAAGAGATTACCGTCAGTAGATAAAATCAAGCATAAGCATAATCAATTAATATTGATATTTAAGACTCCAAATATATTCAAAACGAAAAATCAATCCATACATATACACACACTCACACAAGCTACAAACAAACATTTTCTGACGAATGGCACTATGTAAAAAAAGAAACAAAAGAAAAATATGTTAAGTATATAAAGTTTATCATATATGAGATGATATTGTTGGATTATTTTCATTTGTTAATAAATTTCTTGTTGTTTGAATTCCATTTAATTCTAATTCTATTTTTGTTAATTGTTCTTGTTGTTGATGATTATTTTGATTAATATGACGTGTATATTGCCCTGTTTCTTTAACTCGTTCAAGAAGACGAACTAGAAAAAAAAAAAAAGAAACGAATATAATAAAATTTTCAAAAACAAAGAAACAAACATAACTTACTCTGTAATTCAACTATAGAATTTTGTCTTTTAAGTTCTTCAATTGTTTTTTGATGTAGAAGATTTTTTGATTTTATATTACGAATATATTCTGTAGCTGCTTTAAGAACATGTGCACGAGAAGCCTTTTAGAAAAGAAAATTTATCGTTTTTTTTTTTTTTTTTTATTTCAAAATATGAAATCTTAAATAATTACCTTTTCACCTTTTAACGATGGTATGACATCTCGCAAATCACTGAAACTACCTTTTATATGATCACGTCGTTTTCTTTCAAGTGCATTATGATGTGCTCGTCTTTCAGCTTGATTTTGTCCATTATGTCGTATATTTACTGTCATATCAGCATCTTGACTATCAACATCATCTACACCAATACTAGTTCCATTTAAATGTTCATTAAACTGTTCAAGATCTAAATCTAATGACATACTATCTAGAACAAAGAAAAAAAAACTATGAAAATAAACAGTGTAATAACAAAAACAAAAAAAAAACGAAAACAACAATGTTAATCATTATCTATAGTTTCATTGTTATCGCCAATGAAATTCTAAATTTAAAAAAAAATCAAACAAACAAATGATCTTTCAGAGATATAAATAATCTTCTTTTTTGTTAATAGAAATTAAATGTTAAACAAGAAATAGAGAATAACATCTAATTGATCGAAATTAGAAAATTTTCTTTGGTAAGTATTAATTCGATCAATAAAACTGTACTGATAAATAAATATTATGAATTCCATGTGTGATTGTAATCATATCCACTCCGTGTAAGCCTTCAAGACAGGGCTAGACATATGCAATATATTATTCGTCCTTGAACAATATTTTGTTGGTTGTATACGAAAGATAATTCATACAGTCTCTTCATATAGAGTCACCATATACAACCACTGAACTATAGATGAAATACACGAGTATTCATCAATTTCTATCCTTCATATTGAAATGAAATCTTTCTATACACTATTTATCATTATTTGACTTTTGTCCTATTAATCACAATGGAAATTCTTCTCTAACATACATATGCATAACTCATACATCAATAATTCCTCGAAAAACATATTTTTCTTTTTTTGTTTCTTCTTTAATAATCATACCGTTGTCATAACAGAATCATTATCATGTTCTTTTTGTTTTTGTTCCAATCGATATAAACGTTCTTCAACTAAAGTCTTTAAAGAAAAGAACAAATTGTGTTGATTTTTTTGTTTTGTTTTAAATAAAAAGACAAAAAAAAAAATCTTCTCCTACTTTAGCTGCTGCAATTTGTTCACTAGTACCCGAAATAATTAAACGAGAAAATTTTTTATTTTCTAAATTATCAATAATTTTTCTATCTAAATTAAGACGTGCTTTTGTACTATCACGAATATCTTTTATATTTGAACCATTTTTTCCAATTATATATCCACAAGCATAATCAGGTATAAACATTTCAATTTGTTGATATTGTGGTAAATCAGCAATTAAACGACGTATTTCAACTTCAGCTTCATATACATGATGACGTTGTCCACGTATAATTAATATTCGATAATTTTCATTAAGAATTTTTTCATCATCTTTAGCAAATGCACAACGAATTGAATATTGTTGTTGAAACTAATCAAGATAAAACAAAAAGAAAATCATAATCTTATTTCTTTTCTTTTATCATACACGTTTAATCGCTTCACCACCTTTACCAATTATACTTCCAATACAATAATCAGGTACTTGAATTTCAAGTACAAGATATTCTGAACGATTTAAACGAAGTTGTTCATCTACGAGAAAATCAAAAAAAAAAGTTTTAACTTAAAAATTAAAAAAAATGATAAATTATTATTCTAACTTTTTCGACGATTATGATACCAAATAATACCACCAATAATAATGACAGTACTCGGCACTAATAGACCGTAGAGAAGACGACGATCAATCAAAACGAACATTATTTTGCTTGAAAAGTATTATTTTTTTTTGTATGATGAATCATTTATTCAAAAGAGAAAAAAAAATTATTAGTGGCATCTATCGAAATTTTTTTTTTATTTCTTTTTAATAAAAAAAATTTCTTTTAGATTTAAATAAATTGAAAATATTTTTATTGGTGAAAAATTAACAAAACAAAAGAAAATAAATTTGATGATCACATGTGATTATCTACCTGTAAGATTTTTTTTCTTTCGAAAATTCGTAGGAAAACTTGATCTAATAGAAAAAATTACCGGTTGAATGAGTAGAAAATTTTCTTTTCTCCGAGACAGTATGTTTAACGTAACAATAGGTTTCTAGTAGATTTATTTTGTATATTACACAAGAGTGTAACTTATGGAAGGCATCTAGACCGTGACGCCTCGCCTCCGCTTTGAGTCCTAAATTATGACGTCTCTGCATAGACAATACAATAATTTAATAACTATTATGAAATACAATCAGAAGGGAGTGTAATGAGAAAAACAAGCGAGTAATGCATGCAGAAAGAGATTTTAAGAAAAATTAATATTATCTTGTTATCTATGCTACGATCATTCTCTGTTTTTTTCGACTGAAGTACACCTTACAGAAAAAAAAAGAGAAATTCGATCTTATCTTTCATTGCTTTAGGGAAGAACATTGTTATTAAAATGTTTTTTGAATACTTTTAAAGCTGAAAGTATTCATATCAGCGACTGTTGATGAATGATATACTTTGCTGGAAAGAAAAATGATAATCAATCATTTTGCGATATAATGGAAGCTTTTTGTTTTGAAACAGCAATCATTATCATATATATATATATATACATTTGACATAGAAAGATAGTTATTGCATATTGAATGCCACTAAAACATGAAAAACTTGACTCATAACAGTATTCTTGTTTTATAGTGTGTTTATTGCCACACCCTCTTTTATGCTTCTGCATTATTCTGTGAAAAAAATAAGCAAAGTTGTCCATGAATCAGTTTCAATACATTTCGAATCTTTTGATTAATTCAAATTAATAGAATAAGTTAGTCGTATAAAATTACGAATCTGCTTCTTAAAAATATGAATAAGAAGTCTATTCTGCAAATACAATACATATTATAATCTTTCAATAAATCCATTTAGATATGTAGTGACAGACAAAAGTTTACAGCAATTGTATTTTTGATTCTTGTTCTCAATGATAATAGTTAGGGAGAATCTGAAATGAATATTTGAGTAACTAAAAGAATTTTCTATCAATACGTTATGGATCTAAAAACTCCAATAAAACTACTCGGATAAAAATGTCTGGAAACTCCAAATCAGTTTTTCGGTATCCATTTGAAGCTTTTTGAAAATGAGTTTATTTGATAGAACAAAATGATATGTTTCACCTCTCTTCATCGAAGTGCATTTCATTTATAGAAGACTCATTAAACTTATATCTATTACTGTACTGCTTAGAAATTTAACGACATAATATCTTATTCTTCTATGAAAAAAAGAACTAATGTTGAAAGATATTCTTGCACTTAATAATTTTATTCATATCTTCATAAATGGAAAAAATACATAACATTTACATAGAAAGAAACATAGCTTAGTTAAGTATTGACACTTGACAATGAAAATAGATTTGAATGTTCTTGGTTATGTATGAGGAACGACATGATCTGACATATCCTCCGAATATTTTCATAATACGACTATTGACATAAAGAAAAAATAATTTCCATAAAAGAAAGAACTCCATGAAAATTCCTATTTCCGACTATATAGACGATGACAACTACATCATCCCATCAAAATGTTCCTTTATTAAACATTTTTGATAGATATTTCTATTATACAATTATTTTCATGACATACTAGACATCTTGATCAGCAAGTAATAACTCAACAATCGAACTGATTAACATCAAAATCAATAATTTAATCATTATCACATGCTTCATCCTTCTCCACTTCTAATATGTTTTTTTGATCGTTTCCAATTCTTTTAAAACAGTCTTTTTTTTTTAATCTATTTAAACAAAAATTACAAATTTACTTTATATTTTCTTACATTCATTAATTAAAATTACCGAATAAAATATAAGCTTAAAACAATATATTGTTTTACATATGAAAAAAGAGTATTTTGTTAATTCAATTATTATAATAAAACAAATTAAATCAATAATCATGTTTATTAAGTTAATGAAATAATTGAATTTTTTACAAACATTTTTGCGATAATAAGAATTAAGATCAATAACTCTTGGGATTTATCTATTGGTTACATACAACCTATTTTATTCGTTTCAGAAAAATGTTATATTCCCGAAGAGCTCATTCTCATCTCATAAAAATACTTTACAATAAGATACTTTAGATAAGATTATATAGGTATTATTTAATTTCATTTTAAGGATAAACATGGAGTTATTGTTTGTTTTATGATGTCTTAAAATTTTTTGTTCTTGAATTTATATGTCGAGAAGAATGGAATATATTCGATATGCTTACGTGGAAAAAAAAAAGCATGAATGGATATGAAAATTTAATCTTCTGTTTGAGTAAAACTTTAGTCGAGATGATTTCTTACGAAAATATCCTAGAATATAGACTAAACAAAGACAATTTCAGCTACTATTTCTTGCAAATGTTCGATTCATTTGTAATTCTGAAAATGATTCAATATATTTTGAATAGAATAATTCTTTACTGTTTTTTCTCTTTTCTGACATTTTATGAAACTTATATATATTCTTTTCGAAGAAAATAATGAATACTAGTTTTAAATTTAAGTTTTTTATTTTATTTGACATTTCCGTTGAGTTTATTTTAGATCTCAGCAATCGGAAGAAGAGCTTCAAGAGTAAATGATAAGCATCTTGAAGTAATCGAGAACTATAGACGACAGATATCAGACTACTTTTTCCATAGCTCTTAGGAAAAGAGAAAAAGGCACCAGATGGTATTAATTATATTGCTTAAATTGTTCTAGAATATTGCCAAACTTTCCTTGTAAATTTAATGTCTAGACTACAATTTGTGAATGTTCTAAATGCAACAATTTCTCGTTTTGGTACGCATCAACAATTATTTGCCAAATATCAAGGATGATAGATAGTGAGGTATCGATTTGCTACAATTGGTCATATGGTTAACATAAGATCATGATCTGATCAAATTATAGCTTTGGAAAATAATCAATATCCATATTTCTGACTTTATCGAGACATATAATGTCGCATTGAGACCTACTATGGTTATATTGGATGTTTATAAACAACTTATTGGCTAATTAAATCAATGGTTAGAATAGTAATAATAATGCTAAATTAAGACGAATGGGATACAAAAAGAAAAATAACAAGTAAATAGCAATAAGAAAAGCAAAAAAAAAAACGAAGGTCACCAAAAAATAAAAATTCTGTACGAAATGTAGAAAACAGATAAGATAGATCGTTTCTCTGATGATCTGTTTATCATTGGAAAATAAACTATAATATGTTAGAGATTATTCAATTTATGTATTTAGTCTTAGTTTAATCAGGCTAAAAAACACATGTTAGCTCCGTATTTTTAGCCGCAAACAAATTATGCACTAATAAGCTTTTTAATTAGAATGCAAATGCTGTGAAAAAAAATCGTATTTTTATTCGAGCTTTTTATTACTTAGGAGATTATGTGATAAGGTACCTATAGCACTATCAAATATGCATAGTAACGAAGCAATATAATGTTCCTGTTCTTTCTTTTTAATTGATACTACTTTTTTGTCTAGTAAAAAAAGCCTAATGTCATTGTTCGTTGAATACATCTTGAAATTTTATTTGAGACGTAAATTTTTTAAAATAAGTAATTATATCATAGAACATTCCTGAAGATACATCCGTAAGTTTACTTAATAGTAATACAAGATTGTCATGCAACAGACGAGAACAAGGCATAAGTCATACTGTCAGTCGTGTCATAACAGCAGACTAATCCATAATTCTTTGATGCACATAGTCTTATGTTCCCTAGATGTTTGTTTTTTGACTATACTGACTTAGCTATATTTAATTTTTTTAAGACGAACAATATGGAAGAAAATTATTCATGGATATTTTTTTCATTGTAGTGAATTTTTTTTAAATATAGGTTTAATTATAAGACAGCAATTATTAGCTATTCATTGACAATATATTGAATAATATCAATAGAACGTGCTTAATTAATATATATATATATATATATACTGTTTGAACTTAGAGTATAATTACAAAATGTTGTCCGATAGAAAACAAAAAAAAAAATAATTTATATTTGTTTTTTTTTTCAGTCTGCAAACTTTAATTATTTACTAAACTGAAATTATCAATTATGAATCATTTTTTAGCAAGGACAAATCTAGCAAAGAATTATTATAATACATATGAAAATAACAAAATAATTGTCGATAGAGAAAAGAACACATGCTAGTAGATAATGATGAAAAGAAAAAAGATTCAGTTACATAGAATATAACATAATTTAATGAATTATTCGAAAAATAAAATCTATAATCAATAATAATCAGATAATTTATTTATTATTTACATATGTTTATATCATATGAATGTATTAATTACCATGACTAGCCATTAAATCAAAAAATCAATCAGTGACATTGAGTTACGAACGATGATTTTGTTTTTTTGTTTATATTCATCGTATGAACTCATCATTAATCTTTTCCTTATTTTGCTCTTATTTTGATATTTTCCGATGTTTGTTCTTAGTATGCTATTTTGATCTAATAAAACGTATGTTGATTGCATGCATGTTTATAAAACACGATCAACAAGCTGATAATATCTTATAAATGTCATCAGGATACGAAGTTATTCAAGGCAACGATCATAATATTATTTTTTAATTTGTTGTCGTCGAACGATTCCAATTAATTGTTGAGAAAAAATATGCACGAAAAGAAAAAAATAAGGATTTTTTGTTAATATTCAAATTTCTTTTTTTTTTCTTTCGTTCTTTATTTATCATTTTTATTCTATATGGACAAGTTTTGTTCCCCTGTATAACATAATAATATTCATTTGAATTGTATTACGAATTGTATTATTAATTCTTATCAAGTAAAAAGAAAAAAAAATCAACGATTGATTTTACAATGATTTCCGTTGATCTCCTATGACAAAAGCATTTATTAACATCAATACATAATATATAAATTTTATTTAGATAGATAATAAACTCATCAATCACAACTTTTATCTTAAATTAACTATTCAAATGAATTTGTTTTATTTTGTTGATTAGAAATTAAAATTATCGATTCTTTTTTGTTCTATTAATAAATTCAAAATAAAATTATTATTATTATTATTATTGTTAAAGCGAAAATTTCATTGACCGTGATAAATCATTAACATGTGTGTTGTCCACGCCTACAAACAACTTTTTACATAACAGAATAGAAAGGGAAGGATATCTGTCACATAATGTGGAAAGCGAAAAGAAAAGAAAATAACACGTTTCTTCTTTTAGTTATTGATAAGAGTCAGTCCTTTAATCTTGGATACTCTATGTGTGTACAGTTTTCACCCTACAACTATATTTTTTCTCTTTGTTTTCTCTTCTACACGTCATCATTTACACGACAACACCCGACAATATAAATATAGTCGTCAACTGGTTATTCCACGATACATACCGTTATTCAATAGCATAGTTTTGCAAATATAAATCGTTTATTGTTTCTGTTCCCTGAATTATAACATATCAAACATTATCATTATATAATGAATCAATAATTCAACCGTTTCGGAAATGAAACTCTCCTATGAATTGTTAAATGACTAATTGACAATAAAACTATCATGCAATCAATTTCATTTTGAAAAGGTTAGTACTATAAATAGAAATACAAATGACATTCTTAAGCAATATTTTTAACCCATTGAATTGAATACATAAATTTAATTTTATGTCTTTTTGTTTTTTTTTTTGATATTATCTAAATAGTAATAATAATTGATTAGAACAATGAAGTTATAGTAGTGTATGCAGATACGTCTCATGCTTTTGATATCATTATAAATAGAAAAAAAAGTTGACATAACTAATTGAAAGAAGCTCTTCGAATGTCTCAACTATGCATGGTTTTGATAATCATATCAGACAAAGAAAATTTCTTTTAAATTTTGTGTTATTCGTATATCTTTATTCTAACAATCGTCAATCTTCTTTGTTGTCATACAAATTTACTTATCTCCTTTAAGAAAATATTAACATGAACAAACACTATGACATTGATTAAATTTCCTATAATAATGCATAAATACAAGAAAAACAACAAAATAAGTGGAAAAATAACAGACAATTGATTTTATCTTAAAAACCAAGTGAATGACATAAATGAAACTGTGTTTCTGTCCTTTTTTTTTTTTATTTCCTGCAACTAAATGCAATTTAGCTGACAGAATGAATGACACAGGTTTTTTTGTTTCGCCAATCAATCGTTATAGTGAACATTAGATTTTTTTTTTCTTTCCTATCTTTTCCTTTTTCTCTCTATCTCCTTCTTCTTTACAAGCATGCGCATAGCAAGGCTGATTATTCTCGTAAACACGTCACAAAATTTTTTTTTTCTATGTTGACGTATTGCCGCGAGTCTCTGTATTATTACTACTAATAGTACTGCGCTCCATTGTCGCTATTACCAGCAAAGAGGTACTTAAACAAGCCGTATCCTTTATTTTTCATTATTGGTACTCGGAAATAGTTTATTTTTTTTTTCATTCGTTAATAGCATACAAGAGAGGAAAAAAATTACTTAAAAATTTTACATTTATCTATTATTATAACGTCCATTTGTGGTGAAAAACGAAAAAAAAAATTTCTATTGATCATCTAACGAAATGAGAAGATCTATCATCTATATTTAAATATCTCACATTGACACCAAACGGAAAACAAGAGAGAGAGAAACAGGACATAAAAAAAACGACATTCTTAAATAGCCATCATTGAAACATCATCACTGGTTACGGTCGCATATCGATCATCGCCCTATTAGAGTCAATTTTCACAATAATATATCATATTAATCAAGCAAAAACAAAAAAAAAGTACGTATTATTTACTTATCTATATAATATAATTGATGCTCAAAACTCAGAATATAATAACTCTATTGTATTTCGTAATAATTATAATGTGAAGGTTGTTCAATTATATGCTCGCGTAATTGTAATGTGGGTCAATATTTATTCGACCATTGCTTACTTCAATAGTTTCTGACTGAGACAAATGTATAAAACAAAAATAACAACCCCTCTCGATCGTTTTGTTTTTTTTAGAAGTCAAGGGAATATTATATTTAATTTGATTACTAGTGCTAACTATTTTTTTTTGTCAAAAAACATAATATTATTTATATATGTGTGTGTATGAAAAAAAAACATCGAAGAAAGAACTTTTCTTTCTACCTGAAGGCTTAGTAAAGTGTAATGTTAATCCGATGTACTCTTCTTTTATGTATCTACGCTTATCTTGGCTTGTCCCTACACAAACATACATATGTTTGATAGCTTATTCATTTGATCGATAGAAGCTGTATTTATATATGCTATCAGCCATCGAACGATTTTGCACATATCGACAATTATCGATTAGCTATTTTTTTTTTGTTATTCGATGCTTGTTGATATTAACCGTAGGCGGCCAAAATATGGTTGACAGACGAATAGTTGTGACGTTATGCTGTCAAACAAGTTGAATGTATTGAGATATATGACCTTGTCTATTACAATCTCCAAGGACTTTAATAGATCTTTTTTTTCTTTTGCTTGGTCTATTTGATAAAAATCTTTTTATATGACATTGTAATAATGGAAAACTACAAAGAAATGTGTGAAATAAAATACAAGTATGTTAACAAGACCATGTAGATTTACATAAATATATATATATATATATATCTATATATATATAGTAGATTCTCATGTGCATAAAACTAATGTTATCCATTAGTATAAGTATTCGTCTTATTTTTGTTGTTCTAAATGAATGAAGATAATAACAAAAAATATTGCTATATTCATAGAAATAAAATCATTATTTGTCAGCTATTAATCATAAAGAATATAAAACAAAATATCAAATATTTTTTGATAAATTTAGTGAATAGTATGAGGGTTGAACAATATCCTACAAAGTCGAGAAATTATTCCACTTATAGCAGAAATCTTTTATCCCACACAAAGTCAAATAGAAACGGTTCTTATACCGAAACACAACTCATCAGTAAATATTTTCAATTAGAAACGCATCAACAATATTTATCCTGACAAGCAGAAATGTATAAGATATAAGAAGCAATTGATTAGATTATTCATCTAACCTAAGAAGAAAAGAATAAAATTATTTTGCATGTATAAGGTGAAATGCTGACAGACATGTTTTGTTTTTTACATTAGACATGCAAATATTTGTTGCAAAAATCCTTCACGTATTTCAACCTTAATATAAGACGAAGTGAAGAATAAAAAATAGGGCGTGTAGAGAAACTTGATAGATATATGCTTGTATTCTCTCATTCTGTTTCTTCTCGCTGAAGTTTTTGGTCATGATAAATTAAGGGCACCACTCCTTTCGCGACCCAAAACTTCCAGTTTTTGCGTTTTTTTATTTTTGTGTTTGGTATGTAGATGTCCTCTATCTAATGAGCATATTTTAAGAAGAATAAACCATCTTTTTACATGTTAAAAATGCAATTTTATGCTTAAAAAGTCAAAAAGTGCAAGTTTCTTCACGTTTTTCTCAAATCCAAATTTTTAAACAAAAAATTGAAGCTTTTTCCCTTTTCCTCCTTATTAGAGGAAAAGATATATGAATTTTCTTTTTCTTTATTTTTATTTTAAATATATCTGATCCACTGACTGAACTAACAAAAAAATGTCCGAACACATATATATATATGTAAATATTTTACTATCCAGGGAAAACATATATATGTATATAGTGGTGGACGACGAGATGGAAGAAAGAAAAATAGAGGTGAAATCAGTGCAAATATGAAAACGAAGAAAAGTGAAAAGAAATAAGAAATTAAGGGAAAGAAAAGACGATGGTATGTGTGAGAGGATAGCTCGTAACACTCCTACAAAACAAAGCCAACTGGGCTCAAACTTTTTTTCTGAGTACTTTAGAAGGTCCCCTTAAACATGATTCATATATGTTTATATTCTTTTTGTTCTATTTCTCCCTAAACGGGAACAATTTTCCCATCGATTAATCCAATCGTTCGCTGCCGTTTTGAATACGAAATTTATTTATGCATGAGAAAAATTCAATCGTTAATTCTGAGTATTTCTATTTAGTGATTAGCAAAATCTATTCTTTAAATTGTCATTCTTTTTATTGTGTTGTTACATTTGTTATTATTGTCTTCGTGTCATTTTTATTCGTTCATCATGTTTGAGATCAAAAGAAAAATACATATACCACCAACAAGGTATTTTAATCGTCGAAAATCATTTAAATTTCTTTCATCTTTATCTTATTATTATAATCATGATTTATTATCCTTATGCAAAAAAATTAACATGGATCAATCGTCAAAATTTAAAAAAATTCTCAATCAACAACAAAGAAATAAACAAAACATCAATAATACTCAATCATCATGTCCCAAACAATTTCTTCCTTATTTCCGTTATTGCTGTTATCGTTTATGTTCGTTCACATGTGAATGTTCCATTCCATCAAATACAATTCAAAATTACTATGTTTCATCAATATTTGCTCGACAAAATTGTTCGAGTACATCATCAATCAATTTATCCTATTACTGCTATTAAAAACTTTGAATTTTTTATTGATTTTTTTTTATCAACAGATCATTTACGTCGTCATATATTTGTACGACATCCTAGTAAAATTAAAACTAAACAAATATTTTTTCCTAAATTGAATTTATTTGTTATTTTATTACTATTACTATTTCCTTTAACACTTGCAACTAAATTACCATCATCAACAAAACTTGATCTTTTATTATTAACCAATTATACACTCACATTTTCCTTTAATTTACCATCATCACGATCACAATCACAATCACAATGGCATGCTGGATGTTGTATACGACCTAATCAAACAATGTGTGACGCGAGAACATATTCCTCAATATCAAGTCATAGTATCTATGTATCGAATGATACATCAAGTGGAACATTTTTATTTGATGGTGGTAGTCAATTAATTGATCATCGTCCATCATTTCCTACGAATGATTATTTAAATAATTATAATTTTCTTAGTAATCAAACAATATTTTGTCAACGTTATGATGCATTTCGTCATTTATCAGCAAATCCCTTAGCGATATTTACATATTGTATTGTTGTAATTGGTATTATATTAAATTCATTTGTATTTATTGTTTTAATATGTGGTTCATTAAGACGATCGACATCATTTACTTTATTTCTTGCTTTAACAGTTTTTGATTTATTAAGTTTAGCATCAAGTCTATTTGCTTTATTATTTCGTACTGTAATGACTTATTTAAAAACTTCAGCAATATTTTGTAAAATGTTTGGAATATTTTTCTTATATTTTCGTCAATGTTCATCAACAACATTATTATTAATTGCTATTGAACGTTGTATTGTTATTAAATATCCATTTTGTCGACATGTATTTGAAAAATATCGTTATCCATTTTTAGCTTTTGTGATGCTTATGTATGTTGTACCAATACCATTTGATTTTATATTTTATACAAGTGGTACATTACATTGTGAAGCATTTGATACATTACATGCTGATCGTTATCAAATATTTCGTGGATTTTTTACTGTATTTTCATATGCAATGATACCATTTGTTGGTATAGCTATAAGTAATTTATTAATTATAATTGAATTGAAGAATTCAAAAAAACGTTTTATTTTGAAAGCTGATGATGGAACAATGAAAAATTTTTCCACAAAGTAAGTATATAATTATTTTTTTTTTCTTTGATTAATATTATTTATGTATGATGATAATTAGATAAGAAATTTCTTTCGTAACAAAAAATATTTCAATGTTATTCTAATTGCAAAAAAATATCTATTGATTAATATTTTCTTGAAATTATCTTTAAAAAAGAAAAAATATAGATATCAAAATAGATTTATTCATTTTATTTTTTGTTCTGTTTTGTTAAATCTAGTTCACCTGAAACACGAGGTACAACAGTTATGTTATTTGTTGCATCATTTGCATTTCTTCTTTTACTTGGTCCATTTTATGTACATTGGTGTATAACATATATTTTTTATTATTATCCACAATGTCATTTTACACGAAATCTTTATGAAAATGTACAAATATGTATGGGTGTATTTCATCCATATCTAACTGTTATTGAAAAAGGTATGCGTGAAGCAAATCATGCTATTAATTTTCTTCTATATATTGCAACATCAACACGTTTTCGTTCGGATTTTAAACGTATATGTCGTCGTCTTTTTTATGTTACATTTGGTTCAGCAATATTATTTTTACATAAACATGTATGTTTTTGTTGTACAGAACCATCATGTCTTGTTACACTTCAACAAAATATGTCAGATATAATGGATCAAGATTCTACGTTTGAAAAACGTCGACAAAATCAAGCAGCTTATAAAACAGAACATTATTATAATAATTATGAACGACGACGAAAAACTCAATTACTTCAAGCGATGTATTCAGATCCTAATACGACAACAACCGGTACAAGACTGTCACCTACAGTATCATTTAGTGCATCACCAGGTACATCTAAAACTGTTCGGTTGTTAACATGGAATCTCTACGACCCGATGATACGTCAAGAGGACAATAGAAGACAAGCTGAACGTTTATCACAACATTTAAAAGATACAGGTGTTATTTAAAATATTCTTTTTACTATTCATATTTGTGTTATATATATTTTTTTTTGCTCGTTTGTCTTTATGTGTTCTTTAAATCTCTTTCTTTGTGAAATAGCTACAGTATAGATACAATCTCAGATTTGATTACTGTATGATTCATCGTTCGGTAATATCTACAGATTGTTATCAAGAAATTCTATATGACATGTTTAAAAGTTCTATTTATTCTATGATTGACAAAGATAATTGCTGTATTCTAAATATTCCGGCAAGAAGCAGAAGAAGAAGATGGTACCAAAAAATAGCTACAATGTCTTTCTATTTATATCATCTTTAAACTGAATAGCATAGAAAATAGATGCTGTCATAAAATGTCTATGAATGTCTTTATTCATACTTTGCTTCTGTCAATCTTATGGAAAAATAAAAAAACTGCATCATATAGATACTTCCAGGAAAACTTATATTAAATCAAAATTTTTATATATACAATACCAATAAGGTTACCTTTTTTTTTTTTCTTGTCCATCATTTAAAGTGCTCTCGGTCAAATGATTTTCAAGGATATTCAAGTGGCTGTCTACTTCAAATGTATATACATATATATATATAGAAGTAAATTTATGGAAGAAATTATTTCATTGACACTAAGTAAAGCATTTTCTTTTATACTTTTGTGTACATATCAAGTAAACAACAACAATCGATCGATCGTTTTTAATGAACAATAGAATGAACGTTGATTTAACCATTTGATAATAATAACAAAAACAAAACTTTTAAGGTTTAGTTATCGTTCGCTATTAATGAACATCTCATTATTCAAATAAAGAAAAAAAATTTTTTCTTAACTTAAATTTTAGTTGTCTAACCTTTTGGATTATCTATCATTTTTCTATGCTAATATATTCGTTCTCATATATTTTAGTCTCGTCGTATTTATCCGCTTTTTTTTTTCTTTTTTTGTTCATTCTCTTCATCACTATTCAATAGAAATAACATCCGGATTGAAGGAGCGGCATACTATTCTCTCATATATGTATACTCAAGTAGAAGAGTAAACATACAATTGAACACATCAAACTTATTCAGTCAACGGCAAGGCCATTCGATTGTTGTTTGTATTTGTGTAACGAAAAGAAAACGAATACGATTGAACAAAATAACAAGTAGAAAAAAAAATATAAATATATATTTGACTATCTCAGTTTATTAAAATTCAAATCATGCAGCATTTACTCTACTATCTTTTTATTATAATATTTGGTTTACAAATTTATCATGCAAAAATATTAAATGGTTGTCGATTTGTTAAAAAATTTTATAATACACATCCAAATATATTTGAACTTAATAAAAATCAAACATTATTAACTGTACGACCATTATATGCATTATCAAATCAATCATTTTCATCTATTAATCAATCATTATCAATTGGAATTATTTATCGTTTTGCTAATACATATTTAGTACCTGTACCATTACTTTTTGAATGTTCAGAAAATGAACAAATTTATACAGCAAATGATTGTGAATTTACAATAATTGATATTCGAGTAAGATGAAAAATTTTTCTCATTAAAATTAATTAATTTAAAAAATAAAGATAAATTAACGAATAAGAATAGATGTTTTTTTTTCTCTCTGATATGCAAATAGACAATTTGCCTAGTGTATAACAAGAAAAGAATATGTTAATTAATATTCTTTTTTTATTATCAACAATACTTCTATATGTTATGTTGTTCTAAAATACGTTTGATATGATACTATAATTCGTTGTGAGCTATTTGAAAGAAAAATAAAAAAAAAAAAGGAGAAGTTTTTATTTTATTGATATTTATTTTTATTATTATAAAGATAAATCACTTTACACACTCAAATAAAATATGTCACATATGTCGTACATTGCGATACAATAAAGTGCAACACATTTTGACAGCATAGTTCGAATTCAGTCATCAGTGTATTTATCATTTCTTTTTTTTTTTTCTGCATCAATGAAATAATTAATATTTTGTCAATTTAATTCGAATTAATGATATTTATTCTTAAAGCTCAAGACGGTCAGATCTATTAGTCGTCTCGAGTTCGTTTGATCTCAATGAGATCGTTTCAAGACAGTTCTTTGTCAATCATCAATCGATCTCTCGACATGTATTCGATTAATAACTAATTAAGAAATAATTTAGAACAAAAAAAAAGTTCAGTATATTCAATTGAGTTGGTTATAAGTAATGTTTGTGCAAAACAAAACGATGAATGAATAGTTCGCAGACAAATTGCGACATTTTTTTTTCAATTATTTTGTAATAACTAGCGATCCTTAGGTCCTTATAGTTAGACTGCGACATATTTTATTATCGCAATTTATAAGGTTGATTAATCATAAGATTAAATTGACGATTTTCATAAAAGATCGCGATTGATTCATCAAATATATCCCTTAAAAACTCTCCGATGAATCACGACAAGGACCTTCTGCGATTTTCCGTATGAATCTAGTACGAGAATTATGACTATTGTAAACTTTCATTTATGCCGTCTTTTATTGTTGTATTCTCATCAGTGAACGAGATGAATTTTTTTTCCCTCCGTCCTCGTTATTATAAAAAATATAATACTTTTTTCAATTATACTTATCGAAGAAATTATAGTTGATATTAATTTAAATAAAAAAATATATATATATATATATTGAAAAATTATACTTACGGATGAAATTGCTATCGGGATTGATCCAAATAAGAAAGAAAATAATTTAGTTCTTAAAATAGCACTTATCGTTAAAGTTATTATGAATTAAAATATCTTCTTCTAATAAAATAAAATGAATTATACAAGTGCTGAAAAATCAAAATGATCATGTCTAATTTCTTATTCATTGAAATTTTGACGTATCACGATGAATCATCAAAACTTAAGCTATATTGATGATATAGATTAACATCCTTCATCTTACAAATGTTTTCAAAAAGTTTTCTTTTTCATATTATTGGATTTTATTTTTTACTTTATTTTCTTTTCGAATGAGTAATTGTATGCAGACCAGATGTTCTCATGATATTTTTTTGTATATTGAGACTTTGTTGGATCTCCTAGCAATTATCAATCAATCAGAAACTTATTAATATTAGATGTAAATATCATTATAACCTTTAATGTCAGCCTCATCGATCTTATTAGAGCAAGTATCGTACGAGTAACAATCATGAATTGTGAATAGATTGATTAGAAAATGATGAGGTTGTGCCTTGTTTAGCAGATGATACATCATAATTGGGACAAAATTTTTTCCTCTTTCCAGGATACTTTTCAACATATTAAAGACTTCGTTTTATATGCATTTGATAGAGAACTTCCTGATCTACAAAACTACTGACTTTGTTTTTCAAATCACCTTTTTCTTTATCTGCTCAATATTTTAAAGATAAACACTTACTCAAGTGTCTAGTACGATGATCAAAAAACGATACTACAAAGTTCTTAACAAAAAAATTCTTTATCCTTTAATATGTATTTGAAGATTCTAGAAGAAATATAGGCGAGAAAAAAATCTTTTTCTGGCAGGATTACATCATCGTTCTTTTCCCAATGCTTCTACTCTTCAATTTGATCATCACATTATTTTGTTCAGAATTAAATTCTAGACTCGTCAACATGAGAACAAATGTGTCATAGGCCAAGTCTCACTTTGGAAAAAATAACTTTGCAGAATGCGTTTCAAAATATACTACTAGACGTTGGTTCAATGTCTTTTTTCTTTTGAACAGCACCATCAGAAAATCATAAACAATGACTTATGTAAATCGATAGATGCTTGCAGAAAATCGGAAATTGCACTTAGACGATTGAGTAGGTGCTCATCTTTTACACTTTGCACTGAGAGAAAAAAAAATGTTATTTGGAAAATAAAGACGGTACTTTCGTTGAACACGAAATTCTCTATCGAATGAGTCTAAAACGAATCGAAATTGCACGTTTATTAAAACTATCGCCGGTATACCGCGATGTGCATAAGAACGGGCGGTAAATCTTTAAATTAACCGAGAAGAAAACAGTTTCGAAATATATTTTACTAATAAAAATTTTTGCAACGCCATCTATAATAAAAATTTATCTCATAACTGGGACTGATTTGGACTCTATGAATTGTACAAGTGGTTCGGACTCGTCAGTGTCCAACAAAAAACGACTCAATTCTGTCAGTTTTAACAGACTTAAAAAATTATTCACTCGTTTGAGTACAATACACCATGTTACAACACTTTCAAAAAAGCTGCCGGTAGTTCTCACATGGGAAGTGCCCTAAAACGAGGAAAACATCTTGCTCTGTTTTGTATACGACATCCGTTAGTTTAATATTTGTTCTGTTTTTTTTCTTTTTTACATTTTTACTTTTTTCTTTTTTTCTAGTCAGATTCATCTACCCGGACGACAGAACCAACACGTACAACAACTGTTCCACTTCATTTTCAAGAATATTCTTCATTAAATACATATTCATTACATGGTGCTTATTTTAAACAATCAACAATTGCTTTACGAAATTGTCATTTAATATCAAATGAAAAATTTCTTATATCAGATACATTTCATTTACATATTGAATTTGAACAAACAATTGGTACAAAATGTTCTGAAAAATGTTTACATTCTCAATTATATGAATGTTCATCATCATCTCATACATGTCAATGTCGTTTAAGTGAAAAATTTGGTCATCTTTGTATTGATACAGAACTTATATCAAATTGTTCTTATACACCAGAACGTTGTCGTCATTTATGTCATATACAAAAACAAATTCGTACAGGTCAAATTGATCATTATTGTCAATGTCCATTAGGTACACGACGTATATATTCAAATAATATATATCATTGTGAATTACCAAAATTAATTGAATGTGATAGTCAACATTCAATAACAACATGTCCTAAACATTATATATGTCAAAATAATCAATGTATACAAACATTGTTATCTCGTCGTATAAATGAATCAATAATATCATTACCATTTATATTAATTGGTTTGCTTATTGGTGCTTTATTAATTATAGTTATACTTATAATGGGTCTTTTAAAAATGCGTTCAGTAAAATGTGTTAAATTTGTTCATCAAAAAAATGTTTTATCAAATCATTCAGTTAATTCATCACCAGCAACAATAACACGTTTATCAACAGTACCATCATCATCATCACCTTGTTCAACATTATCATCATCATCAAAATCAACAAATAAAATATTAGAAAAATATACAAAAATTGATTTATTTGAATGACAAAGATTTTCTTTTTTTTTCAATTCAAATTGTAAATGCGTTTGGTTTTTTTTTCTTTATTTAAATAAAGACTTTTATATATATATATATATATAAGGAGTGGCTCATAAATAATGGGACAGTTTGATTTTCCATTTTGTTGGGAACAGAAACACTGTTCAAAAGAGTATCACTCTAAGCTCATTTGATAGAGAATTTTTCACTCGACAAAACTATCGACTTTGTTATTCAAATAAATTCTACCTGTCGTAGAAAATCAAAAAGATTGACATCCATTCAGTCATTGAATTGCTACTATCAGAAAACAAAACATATATGTTTAAATATCAGTTCTGCCGAAATTCAAAATATACTGCAAGATATGCCGTCGAATGCTGAATCTCACCATTTTTACAAAAAAACAAACAATTGGAAGACCAATTTTTTTAAGCAGAAATTCGAAAGTGACACAAAAGACTCTTTCTGACAACTGTATGCAATTATGGATAATCTAAAAGTTTTTGTTGTTCAATTTAAATGTTACATCATTTTGTTCAAAATTAAATTTTGCATCCAATGATATAATAATAAACTGTTCATAGAGACCGCTAACTTTTTCAAAGCACAAGTTTTAAAAGCACATTCCAAACAAAATACTACCAAGTGTTAGTTCCAAGCCTTTTGCACCTGAACGACATCATTATGAGCCTTGAGAGCATAGAGCATAAAATACCCTATCTATTGATGCTAAATACTTTACATAGCAAACCCGATGAGAGCATGGTTAGATGTCCACAGAAGATTGTAGTTGAACAGTGAAGCAGCCGTCAATATTTTTAATTTTTTGTCGATAAGAAAACCTTATTTAAAAAAGAAAACGAAGTCCACGTTTTTTTAGAGCGAAAAATTCTCTATCGAATGAACTTAGAATGATGTCTTTGAACAGTGTTGCTATTCTTCAAAAATAGAAAATCAAACTGTTGCATTATTTATGAGCCACTCGTTATATCTTAAGAAATATAATAATGTCTATTTGATTGAGCTCAATGTTAGAAGACATTTGAAACATTCGCATATTTTTCCTATAAAATACTACAATCCATTATTTATTTACTTTATTGTTATGTCAATGTTCTTCAAATATCGTATAATGTAAATATCTTTTAAATAAAAAGAAGATTAAGGACAGAAGTTTGTTTTTTGATGCTAAGATAATTCTTCGTTCATGATCTAATCTAATATTAATTTATATTCATGTTTTCATTGACAAAATGGTTTATTAATTTAATTTGGGAAAAAATGTAATTCCAAGACGATGAAAATTATTGGAGATACTTCTCATGACTAAACATCGATTTTTTTATCTCGAAATAGTATCATTATAATGAATTCTTGCATGACAAAAACAAAGACCGGGATTTATTTTGTACTTAATAATTGACATCAACGAGGTCAAAAAAGAGATCATTAGATTCGAGGTATTATCAAAAGTAATCGTGTGATACTCTAAAAATCATTGATTACATTCTATTAGTTAGATTTCAAATGTATAAAATAAGAAATCATAGTTTTTTTTAAGTTAATAGGCTTTGTAAGTCAAATAGAAAAATTATTAGAAAGAAACTCATTAAAAGTTATCTTTTTTTGCTGATAAGGTCAAAGCTGCTTTCCATTAGTAAGCACTAGGTTTCATTCATCTTCTCAAAGTATTGTTTTGCATGTCAGAAGACTTAATCTAGGACATGAAATAAAAGAAAAATGTCTTATTGATTACTATTGCTTGTACATCAAAAATTGAAGTTTAGTCATTAGAAATATCTCTCGAAATTTTTATATTTGTTGCATTATATATTTCAAATATAACTTAATAAGCCGTTTCATCAAAGAAAAATCCATAAATATAAATTAGTGATTGGATTAGATCGTTGCGATACAATCATTAATTTATTATAGTATCTAATTTCCTTCAAAAATTGAATAATTTTCCGACTCAATTATTTCCAAGCATACTAGATTTTTTTTTTCTTGTGATCGAAAATGTTTCCTTTCATACGATTTGCAATCGGTTTATTTTTGCAAACAACACTATTTACAATTCAATGATAAAACGAGTTAGAAAGATGAAAGGTATTAAATAATAAATAAGACATAATTAAAAACCAATGCAGTGGAAAATAAGATTAGACGATGTATACAACTGGGAATTTTATTTTACGAAAAAAAAAAAAAAACTGCAATCCTCTCGTGTATAATATCTTAAGAGACTCATAATTTTATCTTATTTTAGAACAAACAAGTATTATATAATTATTTTCGGATATGTAATATGAACGAGAATTTAGAATTATTTATTATTTTTTTCTATTTATTATTTCGAACACAAAATGATCTTTTTATTTTTTTTATTACTAGAACAAGCTTCTTCTTTTCTATGCACTTGTTTTGGCCATGACCTTAGAGAGAGAGGAGAACGAGAAAAGAAGAAAAAAAAGAATTGCAAATCACGGGGGAAAACGTTTTTTTTCCTCATATGATGTAACTTGACGCCTTGAATCAAAACGAACGGGAAAAGAAACGAACGATAAATAACATTTTGTAATAGCAAAAAAAATACGTCAAATCTATTAGACGCAGTAAAAAAAAAAAAAATATTTATTATCAAGAGACATTTTCATTGAAATAATGTTATCACAACCTCTAAGTTCTTACAAAGTTCTTGATCTATCACGAGTACGTGCTGGACCAACAGCTGTTCGACAATTGAGTGATTGGGGTGCTCATGTAATTAAAATTGACATGCCAAAAGATAATTCCAATGACGATAATGATGAAACTGATACATCTGATTATCAAAATATTCAACGTAATAAACGTTCAATAGCAATTAATCTTAAAAATAGTGATGGATTACATATATTTAAACAACTTGTTAGTACAGCTGATATACTAATTGAAAGTTTTCGACCTGATGTTAAATATCGTCTTGGTATTGATTATGAAACATTACGTCAAATTAATCCACAATTAATTTATGCATCTATATCAGGATTTGGTCAAACAGGTCCATATAAAAATCGACCTGGTTATGATCAAATTGTACAAGGTAAATTTATAAATTTACTAAAAAAAGAGAAAAAAAAAATGATCAATTAAAATTTTCTTTTTATTAAGGTATGGGTGGTCTTATGTCTATAACAGGTTTACCAGGTCAAGGACCAGTTCGTGCTGGTATTCCCATAGCTGATCTTTCGACTGGTTTAATTCTTGCCAATGGAATATTAATTGCTCTCTTGGAACGTCATTCATCAGGTCAAGGTCAATGGATTGAAACATCATTACTTGCAACACAAATTTTTATGTTAGATTTACAAGCAGCTCGATATCTTGTCGATGGTCAAATACCAATACAAGCTGGTAATCATCATCCAACAACAATACCAACAGGTACATTTCGTACACTTGATGGACATATAACAATAGCTGCATCTGAACAAATAGAATTTCGAAATTTATGTAAAATATTAAATATAGAAAGTTTAATAACAAATCCTGATTATCTTACAATTGAAAAACGTTCAATTAATCGTGAAAAATTAAATATGGAATTAGAAAAAATTTTTTCTACAAAATCAACTGATTATTGGATAAATGAATTAAATAAAGCAAATATTGCATGTGGACCAATTTATCATATTAATGAAACATTTGCTGATCCACAAGTAAAACATTTACAATTAACAACACAAATTGAACATCCAAAACGTGGTTCAATTGAAATTCTTGGACAACCAATAACAATGAGTCGATCACAATGGTTAATTCATCGTATAGCACCACGATGTGGTGAACATACAACAGAAATTCTTAATGAACTCGGATATAAAACGAATGAAATTGATGATCTTATCAATCGACATGTTGTCTATGTTTCTTGTTTATCTGTTAAATGAATCCAATTGATCATATATTTTTGCCGACTATAAAAGTTTCTATCAAAGTCTTTCTTTTTTCTTTTTTTTTTTTTTTTTTTGTTCTTCTTCTTTCTCTCTCGCTCTCTCTCTCTCTCTCTCTCTTTTTCATCATTTCATCAAGAATAAACGAAACGGAGATGATAATATTGTTACGGAGGATGATCCTGACAGTCTTCTTCACGTCAACAACAATTGTGCCGCCAGTCACTATTGCCGTTCTTTTTTTTTCCTGACAGTCGACATAAATGCAAATCAATTTTTCTTTACTCAAACATATTGTATACATCGTCAATGATGATATTGACGAACTAGATAGTGTTGCTCAGTAACAAATGACGATGATTTAACCTTCACCGATCAGATGCTACTTATTTTCTTGACTAATGATAATGAATTTGTATATAAGCATATGACTAATCAAGAACATGTTTATGTATTGGCGATGACATGACTGAATCGATGAACACTATAACAAGTATGTTGCCATTACTCTCTTAGACATCCATACTCACACAGACACTCCCTCTCTCTCTCTCTCTCTTTTTTTTTTCTGTTTTAAATCATCAGATTTCATTTTGATGAGTACTTGCGTGTGTGATCGATACCGCCATTCATTTACTCTGTAATGCCAGCAGCATGGAGATGAACTCTAACGAGTTGTACCACTTATATATATATACACATAAGCTTTCTTTTACATCTCTCTACTTATTTTCGATATGTACAAAATCAGACTACTAGTAAATGTAAAGTATTTTGAGTGTGTTTATGTATGTTGATGAACAAAATAAAGGAAATATTTTTCCTCATCTCATTTTCATTCTTCTTTTTTTTTGTTGTTTGAATAAAAGAATAAAGGAGAAAAGGGCAAGATAATGTTTCGTTTCTTATCGCTCTTATTCATCCAATTTATCCTTATGTTCTTTACTGAGCACACGTTATTGTACATATACCTTATGTCTTATATCATCTTTTCAATGATTTAGATAATAGACAAAGTGATCGTAATAACGACGATAATCCGATCGATTGGTTTGTGGTACAAAACCATCAAGAAAAACATGTTGTTGATGCTTTTGGATGGTTTGATGATGATGAAAATCATCTAACCTTATTTGGTAAGATGATAATAATACTGATTAAAATAGCAGAAAAAAAGAAATCCAAAATTTCTAATTGAATATCCATTATTTTATTTTATACATAAATAAAGATACGTGATTTGCCTTATTAAATACATATACATTTATATACATATATAAAATGATATCCATTAACTACTGATCATATCCGTTTACATTTCTGCTCCACCCCTCGGCCTTTTGTTTTTTTTTTTTGTTAAGTTAATCGTTTGTTTTAAGGTAATGTCATGTTTTGTATTTAATGCATAGATTTGAAATCTATACCTAAATCTGATCATGATCTAAGTGTATTCGATGAATTAAAATATCAATGTGATGCTGTTTTACTTGCAACAAATTTTCAACAACAAACAACTATATCAACAACTAATAATAATAATAATAATAATTCTTATTTATCTAATCAAATAACAACACCAATAATGATGAATGAATATGAACGACGTTTTCAATATTCACTTCAAAAATTAACTATACCATCATGGTATATTGATACTATTTCATCATCTAAAATAGCAAGTAAACCAATGATTATTTCGACGAATGATTTTAATAAAGAATCTCATCGTACTCCGGAAATCATTCATGTACAACGTCCACGTAGTTATCGTTCATGTCGTTCATCATTAAGAACATCACCAACACCATCTGTATATTCTTGGCATCAAAATCATATAACGGATGGTATGAACTTTTCTTCCTTATTACCTTCATCATTATCGTGTACTTCTTCTCGTCGACATAATAAATATGAAAAGGGTATTGCACGTGTAACAAAATCAAGTCATTGGTATCAACCAACACAATTTATTATCGAACAGAAAAATGATCATATTGGTAAGTTTATATATATATATTTCGTTTTTAAAATCAATCATTATTATGGTTTAACTGAAAATAATGAGAAATATAGTTGATATGTTGTATTTCTTACAAAGATAATCGAACCATATATGATTTCTTTCGATTTGCAGATCTTTATTAGAAGTTTCTATGCATGATATATATTCTTAATAGAGATCTTTATCAACCAGAAAATGAGACCCTGTCTTTATTCGTCTTGTTTTTTTATATTTGTATTAGTCTTGTGTAAACTGATATATTATTATATATAGAAAATAGATTAAAAAAAACTTACAATTCTTGTTATTTGATTCAGCGATTAAAACTAAGCGTTACTTTATCAAATGACTTTTGTTAAATGAAAAGATTTATTCAAGGTTTTTTTGTTTTCTATCACAGGAGATTAGTTTTGTAAAGTATGTATTCATCAATATGATTAAACTTCCTGAAACACCTAGATATGATTCTTTTTATTGAAACTACTTAAGTGGCCTTGCCATTGGCAGTTATATATATATATATATCACATTTGTCTGTCTTCTTGTAATATATTAATAAGTGGAAATAGTAACAATCATAGACAAGCCATCATCACGTTGTTTTCTCATAATGTTCTTTTTTTTTTCTTATTTTGTTTCTAGTTCTCATAAGACATGTTGATTGAGAACAAAAGTATGAGACTAGACATTTAGCAGATGAAAAAGGAAAAAAAAATCTTAAGCTTAGTTGTAATAGACAATAGTATTTTATACATATTGTTGTACGGCATTGATTCAACCAGATGTCTTCATCAAGTTAATAAAGCACTAAACAAGTATTTTCATGTGTCCTATTTTGTGAAGGTGTCATAAATAAAAAAGTCGTTAAATATGATGTGGGCCAATCGTGTATCCTTCCTTGCTCAAGGACTATTTATTCAAGAAATAATTTATTCTTTTTTTTTTATCTACAGGAACTACAAAAATATCAATAAATCAACGAGAAAAATTGAATTATAATCATTATGATATACCAAAAATTTACTATGATAATAAAGATAATATTTCTCATGGAATTAAACAATGTTTCATTTCTGATAAAAGTATAATATCTGGAACATATAGTCAACAACAATCAAAATATTTAAATAATGATATTGATTTTGATGAGTTCGAAAACACGACTACTAGAAAGAAAAAAAGCAATAACAGAGGCAATAGCTTGATAACGAACGATAAGGTTAGTACATGCATTCCTATGCGTGTTTATGTCATTTTTTCTTCTCCTGGTTCTTTTTTTTTTGCTCTTCTGCATACTCTAATACTAACATATATATGAAAAGAACAAGATGAAAGGAGGGGGAAAAAAAAAGTATTTTTCTTGTTGTTGTTGTTGTTGTTGTTTTGCCATTCATCCACTAGTACCACATATTATCGATTGTTTTGTCTTTTAGCAACAAGACAGCGATATTCCATCAAATGAATTTAAAAAAATGTCTTTAACAAGGTAAGAAAAATCAATTTTTTTTTTCATTTGTATTTAGTTTGTTAATATGTCAGATTATGTTCGTTGATGAATAGTTGATCGTTTTTGAATGACGAAAAAAAAAAAAAAGAGAATTATATATAGGATAAAATAATAAATGAGCTCGGAAAAAAGAGATATTTGAGCTCGGTGTGTTTAATTGGCTTTAAAATGAGAGAAATGAGCTCGGTTGTAATAAAATTATATTTTTTTATATAAATGAAAGTTTTGAGCTCGGAAATTAATTTATACTCTGAAAAGATACAAATGAGCTCGGTTAATTTTATTTTTGTCGTTAAAAAGAGAGAAATGAGCTCGGTAATTAATTTATGAAAATTAATTAATGATTTTGTCAGTGGCAAAGTATATTAAATAAGAAAAAAGTAGTTCAAGAACAAAAAAAGTGCTAAGTTACAATAGATTTTTATTAATATTCAGTCTTTTGTTAAAGCTAATTTAACTTTCTTTGGACGACCTTTTCCCCTTCTTATCCCAAGTTGTTGTGGAATTTTACGATGACCCCACATCATTAATAAACCCAAAGAATGAATGCAAGAATATTCTTTGAGGCCATATTTATATGAACAAAATAATGGTGGAGTTAAACGAGAAAAATCAAGTAAACGCGCGGAATTTAACCAGTCTATAAATTCATCGTAAGAATTCCAAGATATACTATGATAATGTTGTACCCATAATAATGTATCCATTTTTGGTTCAGAAGAAGGTACAACGTAACTAGCTGCGCCTAAACGTAACACTTTTATTCGATCAAGTTTTTGTAACCATTTATATGCCCTAGCTGCTAAATCATCATTAAATTCGATTTGAATCGCAAATGGTGTACTGATACTAGCTAATGACCAGTCGTACAGCATACGTTCAGCTGTTTGTAAGAATGATGACAATGATAATTTGTTACGTAATGTGTACATTTGTTTGATTTTACCATTGAACGATTCAATACCATTATTGGTTGATGGAATAAGATTTGCACTACCTTCATACCAAAATGGTACTGATAATAACCACTGGTCTTCAAAATATTTTCGAAATGTATCAAGATCTTTGCCACTGACAAAATCATTAATTAATTTTCATAAATTAATTACCGAGCTCATTTCTCTCTTTTTAACGACAAAAATAAAATTAACCGAGCTCATTTGTATCTTTTCAGAGTATAAATTAATTTCCGAGCTCAAAACTTTCATTTATATAAAAAAATATAATTTTATTACAACCGAGCTCATTTCTCTCATTTTAAAGCCAATTAAACACACCGAGCTCAAATATCTCTTTTTTCCGAGCTCATTTAATTTCGCGTCCATTATATATATATGGACTGATTGATCTTTTCACATGGGACAAAAAGTAATTAAAAAATAAAACAAAGACAAAGCTAATGAGTAATCCTATGTTTGTGATTGGATAAATCGTAACACAATTGTTTTTGACGAGAAATTTTTTTGACTATAAAATTGTTCTTTTTTTTTTCTAGTGAGAAAATATCTTTTGGCCGTATCGAGTTAGAAGAAGTAACTGATGACGAAGAAAACGACAAACGATCGCCAACTAATAACATACATAAACCATTAATTATCGAAGTTACTGACACTAAAGAAACTGAAGGAAATGTATTATTAGAACGTATTGCTAATAATTTAGTTGATTCAATATTAAATGATGCATTATATTCAGAAAAATTGGATCATGATAGTGATGATGATATGAACACGGGTGTTAGAGAATTATCTGATGATGAAAATGCTCTTCGTGAGCTGGATGAAAATGATATGAGTGGTACAGATGAATTTATTGTTTTTGCTACAAATGCAGAAGCATCTGATCATGATGATGATGATGATGACGATAATAATAATAATAATAATAATAATAATCAAACATCGTCAGCTGTACCTCGAGGTAGCCTTAATCGATTATATATATTTTCAAGAACAAATGATGATACAACAATTAATTCAAAAACCCAATCTTCTAATCAAGTATGTATGAAAATAAAGAAAAAAATAATTTATGTCCAATTAAGAAATTTTTCTTATATATCCTCTAAAATGCTTGTACGTAGTTCTAGTATATATACACTTCTTAGAAAATAAAAAAAAACAAGCGTATGGTAAGTAATCTTCGGACACATAACCAACTATCAATTTTCTATTTGCTTTCTGTCTTGTTTGACGTGTTCGCGTATCAAAGCCATGTGTATTTCTTTCAAGGATTTCTATTGATTTATCTGGTCTACGTGTTAAACTAATACAATCAACAAGTTCTATCGAAGAGGGAAAAAAATCCTAGATAATAAAGAATTTACTATCTTCAAGTAGTTTTCTTTTGTTCATGAATATAATTTTGTTCTTGATACTTATACAATCGTAATCAACACTTTCTACCTCCCTATGTCATTGGAGAATAGTGCCAGCAACTTCAAGGTAGAATTTTTCTTGCTTACATACCTCTATGTATACATATATATATTGATAATGACTGTTGTCTACATAACCAGATCAATAGTGAATATAAAAGATGGAAAGAACACAAGCTAATAAAAAAGAAATAAAGAGCATATATGGTGCTTTTTTTGTTGTGAAATACAAAACTCTATCCTATTTATTCATTTTTGTCCTCGAATAGATCATATTTCGTTAGATTGTCATTTTCTTTATTTTCTAAGAGAAAAGTCATTCATATTGTTCCTGTTTTGTCTTTTGTTGTTTTTTTATAGGATTCTACAACATCAGAACTAATAATTGATGACAAGGATATATTAAGAACTAATTCTCTTTCGAATATTGATTCAAATCAACCAGTTAATACAATGATTAATCTTGATAATAATAATAATAATATTAATAATAATTCATCTCCTATATATCGTTCACATATACAAAAACGACATATTAATTTAGGTCGATATTATGATGGAATGTTACGTGCTACAAATAGTCAACTACCAACACATGATTTACGTTCTAATCTTGTTTTAAATAATACAGAAAAAACTGCATCATCTGAAGGTGTCAATGAAGAAACTGTACGTCAAGGACGAATTCTACTTGATAGTATATCAGATTCTACTGATACTAAAAATCAATTAAATGAAAATGTTCAAAATGAGTAAAATTCTTGAAGTTTTTTTTGATTGTTTAATTTTTATTTTTATTTTTTATATTGAATAGATCTCTACCTATTCGATCAATATTAAAAAATACTCGTTTTGCATTAACAGATGAAATCAATGAAAAAAAACCTGATGATAATATATTAACAATAGAAGAAAAAAATGAAATTTTCCCAAAAAAAATTGTTACAACAACAATAACAGAAGAATATCGTCGAATACAACGAAAAATTATTGAAGAATTTACTGACGGTATTTTTAATTAATTAATTTAAAATTATTCTTTTAACAAAAACAATATTTTTGTTTATTTTTTTTTTTTTTTGTTTTCAATAGATTTCAAGGATAAATTATGTCAAAATTTTGATTATTCAAAACAACAAGAACAATATCATACTCAACAATCATTAACACCATCTGTTTCAATAAATGATCAATCACCATATGAATTATTATCAGAATGTTATTCGGGTTATTCTTTTATTCGAAGTGATTTTTTAACACCAATAACATATCCATTAACATTAAATGTTTCATCATTACCATCGACAACTGATGAAGCTTATGAATCTGAACAAACAACAACAATATCACCATCTTCACTAACAATGAGTTCATCACCACCGACAACAGCAACAATAGCTCATGTTCATCCAAATCTTATACATGAATTTGAATATCCATCACCACCACCACCAGTACCTGATCGACGTCTTAAACCACCTCATTTACGTCCACCACCTCCTATTAAACCTCGTTCTCATCAACGACAACAACGAAAAAATTCAAATAATTATAGTACAATAGAAAAAACACAAATTTCACCATTAACAGCTATTGAACATATAATGGCATCAACACCAAATGATTCAACATCATCTTCAATACGAACATTAAGTAGTCGACATTATTGTGGTTCATTACCTTTATCTAATGAATTCGTAACATCATCAGAATCTCAAACAAAACGAAAAACGGACGATACTTTAAATTCATTAATAAATAATGATAATAATCAACAACCTACATTAAGAAAATCAACTTCATCATCATTAAATAAAAATAGATCAAACAAACCATCATCTACATATTTTGATGAAGCAACAAATGGTTTAGCTATTCGATTACCAGCACCCATATCTCAAGGACAAGATTCAATAAATAAACAACATCTCAATAGGTTAGTCCTTCCTACAGACAAAAGCCACCAAAAGAAATTGATGGATAATTCTTAAATACTCATTTACGATGAATATGCGCATTTTTTCAATCTTCTACATTTGTTTAAATGATTTGTATCCTTCATTCATAATAAGAAGCAATAGTTTTTAACGAGCATTATAGGTCAAACAAATATATCCATAAATGAAGCAATGTAGCGTTCCATACGATACAATATTGCAAGCATATATATATATATATTTATATATTTGTATGATCGCATGCGGAGAAATAAGGTTGTTTATGCAAGACAAAATGCTGATTAATTTCCTTCTATCATAGATAATCGTCTTTCTCCATACAATCATAATGAGCTACATAAGGCTTCTATATATATTTTTTTTTCTTGTCAATGAAAAATTTTAAGTCATTAGATATTAATGTAATACCACAATCTAAAGATAATCTTTATTTTTGTTCTAGATCATCAACACCATCATCTAGCAAACAAATCGATAGAACGATAAAAAAACGACCGATATCGGAAAATGTATGTTTATCTACTTTAATATTTTTTTTTTTTGTCTAAATAATCATAGATTTTTATTTTGTGTAGCTTCATCTGGATCGATCGTCTATTTATGAAACATCGGTCTAAGATGTCTTTTCCGTTGTACAATTTATGTAAATTTTGGGATGTTATTTTGTTTTGGCTTCAATACCACTATGTGGCAAATAAAAATATTAATAGTTATTCAGTTCTTTTTAGCAATCAATCCCATGTTGGTTTTTCATTTTCTTTTTTCTTTTTAACAAATAGATGATTGGTTTTTTTATTAATATTTTTTGTGTCAAGTATACATAGATGATTGAGTGTGTGTATGTGTGTATGCGCTTGTATGATTTCTTTTTCTTTTTTAATAACATACAGTGGTTTGTACATTAATGATTATCAAACATGACGAAGAATCAAATGCAACAGATAAATGAAAAACAATATTTTTGATGTTTCTTTACAGCTTACGATAAGTTCATGTTGAAGACACTAATTAAAACCATAGATGAATGACAGCAAGATATATGATGATATCATAATTTGTTTATAGTGAATAAAAACATCTGTTGATTAATATTGAACATTGTACAAATAAACAATCTAATGAAATTCTTTCATAGTTAATGTTTACGACTGACATCTATGTAAATTCAGCAAATATATTAAATAATTAATTGTTTTTTTTCCAACTAAAACTTAAAATAAACTAATTACATTATTTTTGGATTAGTAATAGATTAAAATTCATTTGTAGTAACGAATAAATTGTCTAGACAATTGAATTGATATGAAAGAAATCATGGCTGATTATAATCAAACAAAACCACAAATATATTATTATATTTTTTTGTTGTTTTTAAATTTAAAAATTTGTTTGTCTAAAAAAAAAAATTAACACGAATATTTCTATTCTGTAATACTTCATTAAACATAAAAGAAACTAAATAAAAAGATTCAATCGAATCATTCACTTTCAGATAGTCAAAAAAGAACAAATTAAATTATACCTAAACAATGTCTGTCTACGATAGTAAAGCTAATTATCATCCAGTATCAACTTTACCTGGTAGTTTACCTAATGGTAAGTCAATAGATAATTTCCTCCATCTCATACATGTAGTTTTTTAATGTTATATAGGATCTTATCTTTTACCTGGTAATGGTTATTTCAGGTACATATAAAGAAACCATTTTAATGCTCTAATGTTTGTTTATTTTTTTTGTTCTTTTTGAAAATCAAAATAGTGTTGAAGGACATTTACCTCGACTTCGTTATGATACTCAAAAATTTCTCGATGATCCAAAATATGCTTATTCACAAAGTTATCGTATTGATGCAATGCAAGCATTGAATAATGCAAAAAAAGGTTTCGTTGAATTTTTATATTTTCAAAAATGTTATATAACTATTTAAAATAGGTACAAGTTTACCACGATATTATTCATATTATCCTCATTTTGAAGCAACACGTGAACGACATATATTTGTACCAAAATATTTTCCTAATGAAAATCCATCATGTTATGAACATAAAGGTTTAAAACATTTTAAAGATGTATGAATATAGAAAATCAAAAAAAATTAAATTAAATTACGTTTTTTAAAATGTATTTTTGATTTTTTTTCTTTTAGCTAGCTTCAAATTCAGAAATTTATGCACTTCGAAGTGTTAATAGTTTACCACCATTAGATTATGTTACTATACCCAAATCTGATCAAAATAATGAAATCTATCGAACTTATCAAGCAAAAATGCCTTAGTAAGTTTATTGATTATTTAAAAGAAATAAATAAAATAATAATTTTAATTTTTTTTTTAGTGATATGATGGTATTACGGGATGAGCAAATATATAAAACACCATATTCAAAAGATTGTATGACACGTAATAAATCATTTATTACAAGTACAACACTTGTACCACGAGGACCTTAATCAAATATGATCTGATAATATAAACTTTCTTAACTAACCCGATGATATATATTTTTTTAAGATTCTTCTTTTTATTTTTCATTTTATTCAAATAAAATATATCTTATTAAGTATATTAGAAACAAAAAAGATATACTTCTTTTGGATGAATTTGAAATAAAGAACATAAAATGTGTTGCATCTGCCGTACTTAGCGACACACATAAAGTATAACACAAGTTGCTCGTTGCAACACATTTTAGAAATTTAATTTGAATCTATCGTTCGGCATATATATCATTAATTACTACTTTTCCAGTTTAATTAGAATTAGTAATATCTGTTCTTGGAGCCCGATACAGAAAGATCTTAAGATTTAGCTAACCTAAGTGGACTTGATGTAGATTAGACTGCTTCGAGACGATTCATTCTTGAATATCGATTAATTTCACAATGTGTTCTCGTCAAGGGGGAAAAAGCGAGACTTCATACTTCACGTACTTCACCGTACTTCACTTGTACTTCACTTGTACTTCACTTGTACTTCACTTGTACTTCAGCTGTACTTCACTATACTTCACGCGTACTTCACTCGTAGGGGTACCCTAGGTCCTCAAGTCCTACTTTTGAAAAAAATTTTGTTTTCGAAAAATTTTTTTTTTTATACAGAAATAGACTTTTTGAGGAAAAAAAAATTTTTTTGGGAACACCCAAAATTTTGTTCGAAAAAAATTTTTTTTTATACAAAAATAGACTTTTTTCGAAAAAAAAATTTTTTTTGAACAAAATTTTGGGTGTTCCCAAAAAAATTTTTTTTTTCTCAAAAAGTCTATTTCTGTATAAAAAAAAAATTTTTTTCTAAAGTAGGACTTGAGGACCTAAGGGTACCCCTCAAGGGGGAAAAAGCGAGACTTCATACTTCACGTACTTCACCGTACTTCACTCGTACTTCACTGTACTTCAATCGTACTTCA